TGTTCCCAGGAAAATATTGTTGGGGAAGGAAAAATAATGGGGGTATGTGGTACATTTGATCCCTTTAGAAGCAAATCTTGGGTAGGTATGACCCTTTTTTCGTATTTCATTACAGACTCTGCTTGATGTATTGTGGAGTTTAACATTGTTGCAAGGTCGTGCAAGGTCTGGCTTAAGTAGTATCTAAAAGAAGATATCATGAAGAGCTTCACAAAAAAAATTTAAGAAAAATACATGACAATACAGTGTTTAGATTGTCCAAAAAGTTCGACTTTGTTAATAATTGTGGACGAAAAAACGCCTAATTTTGACACATTACTCTATCTACGTCCCTCATCATATATCAATTGTTTTTATTTCATTAAAAAGAGCATCATTTTCTATGCCAAATACATTTTTTCCAGCGTCTTGGTACACAACTGTGATGAACAACAGACCACTTCTTAAAAATGTCTATTTGATTTTTGTACTTTTCAAAAAAACAAGGTCTCAAAATTTCAAATTTAACCTACAAAAAAAATAACAAAGTGGGCTTTCAAACACCAAAGGATACTTTTTTCTATGTAATTGGACATTTCCTAACAAGTTGGAATTATCAAAACATCAAAATTCCATTTTGATTTTTTTCCGGCTAAACTCGTCATATGGCCCATTGTGCGACATGTCCAAAATTATTGGTACGTGTTCCTAATTAATCAATCTTTGTATATTTATTGATTCCTGCAAAATTGGGCCATGTAATATTAAAATTAACAAATTTTTCTGCATTGTTTACATATTTTTATATGCGTTTTGGCATTCCTCCCTCGCAATTGCACCAAGATGACGTCACGCAAAAATTACGCTCAAAAATCCTCTCTCATTGGCGCAATCTTGTATTCTATCATTCTTGAGCATGAACAATTGTTCTATGGTGTGCCGATCATTGATCTAGTTCAGTGCTTAGAACTTATGCGCTGCTAGCAGCCGGTCAGTTTGCGTTTGTACTTGATGCTCTAAGCATCACATGCGTGAGCTGCTTTGCTGAGTACACACATCCAGATACAAATTATTGCGCTTGTATTGGGAGCTCTGCCAGCGCTGTGCGCCGCTGATCTTGTTACATGCCCCTCACAGTGTTGGCATTTTTGGTAAAATTGTACTTTATTGATACGACTTCGTTTACTATATACCGAGCCCTAACCTTTCTGATGCAGAAATATTCCTAGAGCATCTAGATGCATTTCTGCATCAAAAAGAAAATGAAAAAAAAAATGTCGCTTACGTTATTTTGGCGGTTAGGGCTCGATACTTTCCTACTACGCAGTAGTTTTTAATAAAATTTTTTTATGAATACTAAAAATATATGGCACTAAAAATTCACAGCATGAAATTTTTTATTATCTTTCTGTTTTCGCCTTTTCGTATTTGCCTTCGTGAGTTTTAAAGAAATTTTAAAAATGACTTCAACGAACCATTATAATACAGCTAAGGTCTGCTATCAGCTTTACACTCCTATGCAAATTTTGAAAGAATATTTTTGATACTAAAGCTTATTAAAACAAAATGTAGAAATCAGCTTCATGTAGAAACAAAGTATTCGTTAATTAAAACAAGAGACAAATATAATAACTTTACGGCACTCATATATTGATAAGATTTTACTATTTATTTAATTTTTTTTTAATTTTATTGTTCCTTTACAAAAACTGTATAAATCCAAGTTTAATTCTTTGTGCAACATTAAAAAAAATCGACAAGGTTTCGTAAAAATTTCGAGGTTTTTAATTTTAGTATATTGAATTGCAAGCTTAAAGTAGCTGGGACTTACCGCTGATTTTTGGCAATTCTTTTTTTTTTTTGTTGACGATGTCAGTAATTTTTTCATTCAGTTCCTTTTTTTTGGAGAAAATGAGCAACACCTTCACAAAAAAATCTAAAAAAACTTTGTTATATTCAAACTGAATGGGCTACAAAACTGCATACTCAAAATATTTCTAGGAAATCTAAATAAAAATCTCGAAATTTTTACGAAAGTGTATTGATTTTTTTTAATGTTGCACAAAGATTGAACCTTGGATTTGTATTGTAACTGTATTTTTATAAAAAAAAAAACACATAATATTAAATAATATTAAGATAAGTGGCCAAATCTCGTCAACATGTGAGTGTCGTAAAGTTTTGATAAGCACTTGAAATGCTATTAAAATGTAAAAATTTTTCACCGAAAACAAAAAAGATGTTTCTGTTGTCCGTTAATAAAAACTTAAAAATGCTTTTTGTTGAGAAGTTTACCTGAAAATATGTGTATACATATTTTTGTTAAATGAAGTACGTAAATGTATGTACATAAACAAGCAAACTTTGCAATGAATACCATAAAATAGTTGGTCTTGAAGGGAATATACTAAGAAAATATATGAACAAATTAAAAAGTTGATACAATTTATAGTCGAAAAGTACAGTTTTTGTATAGATTTCGTATTGAAGGAAATTTTTTTTTTACCCAACACTGGCCCGTCATACTGCCAGCTTTGGTTGAATATACATTGCATCCGTTACTTTTCCATGTTGCGTGCTCTTAGGCCCCACTGATTTTCATTTAGAGAATTTTGGCGATGGAAATTTAGCGTAGCGATTGTCATAATTCCACTGCTGGTTAGTTAAGAAATACGAAATAAATCGAAATTTTAGACTTTGTTCAAAAATTTTGAAAATTCTGAAAAGTTTTACCAAAATTTCTAACTTCTTGATTAGGATCTTTGGACAAAATTTTGGTATTCAGGTTTTTAGCCCATTAAATTTTAGCAAGCAAATTGCATATTTTAAGGATCTTGGACTTACCGTTGATTTTTATAATTTTTTTTTTTACTGCCAAAAATTAACGGTAGGTCATAGCATCTACAGCCCAAGCTCTTTCATTTGACAGTTCATTTTCGAAAATCGAACGAACGGTGCAGATTTGATGACATGGACAAAAAATGCCTTTGATATTATATATATATTGGCTTCTCTTATTTCTTTTTCGCTCTGTAACTTTTTAATGAACAAATAAAAAAGTGGTGCACGAGGATCATAGTTCAATAATATATTGTACAATAGAGCACACTCGTATTTGGCAAAATTTTCCAATTCCAGAAGATGTGCTAATAGAAAATGAGCATTTTTACTTTTGCGCAAGCATCGTAACCTTTTCAAGAAGTTGCTTTTTAACTATCTTCTAATGACAGCACATAAGCCGGCCATGTCTAGATTGATTCCTCTTATGCTCCGGAACACTATAAAAGCTGTCCGATAGCAATTTTACGTGCGCACCAGCTACAGTATACTACAAAATGCGAATGTCAGAATTTAAAAAAAGGAGTCACGCCACTTTGACTCTTCATAACTTCTATTCTATTGCAAACACATACTTCTAACGGGGTGCATTCGATTCTCTTCTCGAAATACAGTTAACTATAAACTGAAACATGAGCAATTAACGCACCAATTTTTGCAACGTAAAAATAATAAAAATAAATAATATAAAAAAAACTTTTTAATATACAACGCTTTTATAAATGGACTAAAAAGTAGAAAATAATACTTCTCAGTCCCATAGAATTTGTTTTGATAACTTTTGATTTTGAAATTTTAGCAAAAGTCATTATAAACAATCTATGAAATTGAAAATGAAAAACGTGGAGCGCATGCAATACAAAGCATTCGATTTAATTGACAATAGTCAAACTACATAACGTAGACCTAAAATTTCTACAGCGAAAGTAGAACTTTGAAATCGATTTTAAGCGGTCGTTATTCATATACCCACATACATACATACATATATTACTTTTCATATCAATTCAAGTGTATTACATGCGCCCCACGCTTTTCATTTTCAATTTCATAGATTGTTTATAATGACTTTTGCTAAAATTTCAAAATCAAAAGTTATCAAAACAAATTCTATGGGACTGAGAAATATTATTTTCTACTTTTTAGTCCATTTATAAAAGCGTTGTATATTAAAAAGTTTTTTTTATATTATTTATTTTCTCCTTTTTAGTCCTGTATGAATAAAAGTTTGCAATAGATATTAAAATAATTCAACGATATTAATAGAAAGGTGCACACACATGCATTTACATATGTATGTACATACGAACGAGCACCAATTAATTTTATTTAAAGAATTGACGTGTCGTCTATTTCCGGTGTAGCAAACGTAGTACATAGGGCGACATCTAGATGTCATCTACCTCGCCCTATTCACTACAGCTATCGCCCTATGCACTACTTCACTACAGATGTCGCCCTATTCACTATGCTTTTTTATAGGAGCTTTTCAAAGCTTTGCTTTGTGGTGTCGGACACACAACATTGAAAGCTTCTGGATCCACAACATTGCAAGTTGATAAAAGCGTTGTAAAATAGGGGAGTCTTACATATATTTATGAAAATTTCTAAATTTTATTTCTGAATTATATGCATATTTGGCTATAAAATATGTAAAGTGGTCCATTTTTTGCATACTTATGTACATATATAAAATATATATAAAATATTTTATATTTCCTTCCGGGCTGCTCATGTGGAGCAGTTCTCTTGCGCTCACCAACCCAGCCACAGTTTTACTTTTGCCGACCCCTGAACTAAATGTTGCATGTTGTTAGGCGCACCTGCTATTCTTTTGGAGATTCCCCAGTTTTTATTTGGTTCGCGGTATGTGTATATTTGTAACTGTTTAATCAATTAGTGACATTGGCACAAAAAATCTATATGTTGAAAATTTTTGAAATAGGACTGAAATTACACTCACTTTCCACTTGCAATAAAAACCGCAAAAAAAGTTAATAGCGTTTGGTGCGTTGCTTAAAAACGTTGCAACCCGTTGCATTTCGTATTCTAGCAGCTGAAGGAACGTATACTAAAAATTTCAGACAAGTGCATACGATTTGAAAAATAAAATATTCTTTCACAAAAAAATTCGAAGTTTCTGAGAAATGCCCATATACGTTGAAATAAAATGTGTGTTTTTGTTTCAATTCCAGATATGTTTAAACTTTAAAGTATAAAATATATCAACCCTGGGAACAAATTATTGGTACTGAATGGTAAAAAAGTGTGCATTCATTCTAAATATGCAATCATGTGTGAGTGCGAATGCTGCTGTACATTCACATTCTATACTGAATGGCAATCTACCATTCAATAACAAAACACTGTTTGTTTTCAAATATTTTAAGCCACTCAGGAATGGGGTTTTTATTTATACAAACCAACAATCAACATTTTGAAAGGAATGCCGAGTGAATGCAGACTATGTTGATTCAATTATTTTACAGCTCTGCCAACTATTTCATAGCTCAATGAAGTACAGGTTAGGTTGGGTTAACGCCTCATTAGGCACGTGGTTTTTTGTAACGTGGTTAGGCACGTGGACTACGATCGTAGACCATTTTAATAGTATTATAAATGTGTTACTTTAATTTTTTTATAATACTTCATAAGTAATATTCTTTGAACTATTGTTAATGATTTAAACTAGCGTTAAAATAAAAATATTTCTGTATGCTCTGTAGATTCAATGAAAAAATTAATGTGTTTGTTTTTGAATATTTATTGTAATTCATTAGTAATTTTTTCATAACTATCGCATAACTTACAAACATTTTTTATTGGTACCAAAACTAAGAATAAAAATATGTAAAATTCAATTATTTAATTAAAAAATAAAACTACAGTACAAAATATGTAGGTTACGGATTCCCGAAAACTGCATGTTTTTACTCACTGAGAAAATCAGCGCAGCTTTCTCTCATATGATTTTTGCAAGCAAACCTACCGCACTTAGCACAAGAACGTCGGGATGATTTGGTTTTATTTCGAGGGCAAATATGACAACGTCCGACATAGTTATGTGGTTGTTGAGGGGATTGTGGTGGTGTACTTGAAATTAGTTATGAGCGATATTTCACTACCGGTGATTTTATTACTGTGATTTAAAAATTGCTGTGTAGTGACTGCTACTGCTAGGCCACAATATCAGCGATTGGTGATTTTTCTACTTGCATGGTATTTCGCTGTGAATAAAATCACATCTTGCAATAGCTAGTCAACGGAAGTTGAGAATTGTGATTTTTCTCTATCATGGTAGAAATGGTGATTTTACAAATTTTAATTATTCATTGTGAATATGCTCGTATGTATCATATGTATATTCCGTTTTATCCTTGCCGTTCCATGGTTGTTTAAAATGGACATTTTCAAGTACGCAGTTTGATTTGCTTGATCACGTTATTCGCGTTTCAGTTTTTTATTTCAAAATTTGTATCAACGAGCAAAGGACGCTGCAAGTATTAATAAAAGAACGAAGTGAAATATGGTAATTTTTGAGCGAATAAATGAAGCTTTTACCTCTTTTCCCTACATGTACCAACACTGATCATCGTTTATTAGAATTATTACACATTTCCGTGTTATTAAAAGAACTACCGATCGCAATAGCCGTAAAAAATCACTGTGATTTAAAAACCGCACTTCACTTATACTGAAAAATCGCTATTTCGCCCATCACTACTTGGAATGCCAAGAAGGGAATGATCTTGCTTCCTCATTTCTCTAGGTAGTCGGAGAATTTTTGACCTGACTTCAATTTGTGGTCCACTTAGCTCCCAAGCGCATTTTTCAATAAAATCACAGCGTCTCAAATTCTCATGGGGATAGTTTGCTTTATATACACAAAGCGCATTTATCCCTGAGATGTTTAGTAAATTGTAAAAGATGACCATTGGCCAACGACGCGTATTCCCCGCAACATTATATTTCTGGCACAATTGGTCCACTCGATCTACACCAATGTTGGCGCGATTGTAATCGGTTATCTTAAGAGGTTTTCTGTGATCATTAGTTTGTTCATCTATTGCATCATTATGGTGCATAGGTGATATCAGAACCACAGACCGGTTTTTTTCGGGCAGTAGGACACTAGCGTTGAATTTTCTTGGAAACAAAAAAATACTTGACCTCTTTTCACTATTCTTCTGGGTAGAAATTCTCGGGGAACTTCACGTCTATTATTTCTTCTTCTTCTTCTTCTTTTTTGGTGCTGAAACCGCCTAAGCGATTTTGGCCGAGTTCAGCAAAGCACGCCAGTCGTTTCTCCTCTGAGCCAACTGACGCCAATTGGAAACGCCAAGTGAAGCCAAGTCCTTCTCCACCTGATCTTTACATCGCAGTGGGGGCCTCCCTCTTCCTCTGCTACCACCAGCGGGTTCGGAGTTGAATAATTTCAGAGCTGGAGCATCGCTGTCCATTCGAACGACATGACGCCATATACCAGCACGGGCATCATGAGTGACTTATAGAGCGTGGTTTTCGTACGTCGAGAGAGGACTTTACTCCTGAATTGCCTACTCAGTCCAAAGTAGCACTTGTTGGCAAGAGTGATTCTACGTTGGATTTCAATGCTGACATTATTATCGGTGTTAATGCTGGTTCCCAAGTAAACGAAATTCTCTACTTTCTCGAAATTGTAACTGTCAACAGTGACGTGGGTGCCAAGGCGTGAATGTGCTGACTGTTTGTTTGATGACAGGAGATACTTCGTCTTGTCCTCGTTTACCACCAGACCCATTCGCTTTGCTTCCCTATCCAACTTGGAAAAGGCAGAGCAGACTTCACGGTTTTTGTTACCGATGATGTCGATGTCATCGGCATAGGTCAGCAATTGCAGGCTCTTGTAGTAAATTGTTCCTGAGCGGTTCAGTTCTGCAGCTCTTATTATCTTCTCCAAAATCAGATTAAAGAAGTCACATGAAAGGGAGTCGCCCTGTCTAAAACCCCGGTTTGTAGCGAACGGCTCGGAGAGGTCTTGCCCAATTCTGACGGAGCTGGTGGTATTGCTCAACGTCATTTTACACAGCCGTATGAATTTTGAGGGCATGCCAAATTCAGACATAGCGGCGTATATGCAACTCCTTTTAGTGCTGTGAAAAGCGGCTTTAAAGTCGACAAATAGATGGTGAGTGTCGATCCTTTTCTCGCGGGTCTTTTCCAAGATTTGGCGTATTGTGAATACCTGGTCTATGGCGGATTTGCCAGGTCTAAAGCCACACTGATAAGACCCAATCAGTTCATTGACGATGGGCTTCAGTCTTTCACACAATACGCTCGATTAGACCTTGTAACCTATGCTTAGAAGGCGCGAACGGCGGGGTTACCTTTCTTGTGGATTGGGCAGAGCACACTTAAATTCCAGCATCGGGCATGCGTTCATCTGACCATATTCTGCACAAGAGTTGATGCATGCACCTTATCAACTCCTCGCCGCCATACTTTAATAGCTCAGCTGGCAGGCTGTCAGCTGCAGCGGCTTTGTTGGTTTTCAGGAGCGTTATTGCTATACGTACCTCGTCATAGTCAGGCGGTGGAACGTCGACTCCGTCATCATCTACTGCGGGCTCGGGTTCTTCTTCTCCACAACTTTCCGTGCTGCTACCATTTAGTAGGCCGCACATTTTTCGATGCACAGAGGTGGGTGCGTATTTTGGCTGCAACAAGATAGTGGTCCGAATCGATGTTTGGGCCTCGGAGTGTGCGTACGTCTAAAACACTGGAAGCGTGCCTTCCGTCTATCACAACATGATCGATTTGGTTTCTCGTTTTTCGATCCGGAGACAGCCACGTAGCTTGATGGATCTTTTTATGCTTGAACCTAGTACTGCATACTACCATGTTTCGGGCCCCGGCGAAGTCGATAAGCCTCAATCCGTTGTCGGACGTTTCGTCGTGGAGGCTGAATTTTCCGACGGTGGTTCCAAAGATCCCTTCCTTGCACACCCTGGTATTGAAGTCGCTAAGCACGATTTTGATATCATGACGAAGGCAGCGCTCATACGTGCGCTCCAAGCGCTCATAGAAGAGATCCTTGGATGCCTCATCCTTCTCTTCCGTAAGGGCATTGGCGCAGATGAGCGAGATGCTGAAAAATCTCGCTCTGATGCGGATTGTGGATAGATGCTCGTCCACCGAGGTGAACGACAGTACTCGGCGACGGAGTCTCGCAATCCCTCAAATCGTAGTCGTTTAAACTTCTGCCGTGGTCGTCATCATAAGGGGGGGTCTCATCCGAGGCTTTGCCGTGCTTCTTCACTGGAATTGGTTTTGAAGGGTCCCAAACCCAGCGCACAACCCATTGCTGGGACGGGGGTGGTTTCGCAACCAAATACACGTTTACATAGCGGGCTGCTTGCTCCAAGCCGACGCCCGCTTGCAGCCGCACCTACTGGTGAACAGACGCTGCAGACTTCAGTGAGCCCTTAAACCGAATAAGTCGGAGTGGCCCACCGAAGCTCCCTCTCTTTCTGCCGTGACCCAAGGCTCCACTCGGATTGGATACCGCATCTCGCACATGGGTTGCTCAAGTTGCCCAGAGTGCGCGAACGAGGACGCAAGAGTCGGGATTGAGTATAGCCATGCAACTGTAACTGCATACCCAGCGCATCGACTATACCCCATTGCACTCCACGACTATACCCCATTGCACTTCTGTTTTTTCTTAAGGTTCCCAAATATATAAGCTTTTTATTTAGCAAATTATTGACCAATGATAAGCTGCTAAACCAGTTGTCATCAGTAATATTGCGATTAGTACCTGCAACTGGCTCTACCAATCGAAGAGTTATGTCTTCCGCGCTATGGCCGAACTTGTATGGTCCGTCCGGCTGAGTTCTAACATAAGTTTCCAAATTAAAAGTGTAACACGTTTTTGCATCCACTATTGCTAATGTTTTAATGCCATACTTGGCCGGCTTACCAGGAACGAGTTGTTTAAACGCACAACGTCCTCTGAACGCCAATAGTTGTTCATCCACAGTAAGAAACTCACTTCCAATGAAATTACTTTGAAAATTCACCAGAAACACTTCAAAAAGGTCTTTAATAGGCGCCAGCTTATCAATTTCCTTCTCTGATTTCTTGTATCTATGTTGTCAAACCGCAGACATCTTATTAGAAATCGAAACCCTTTCTCGCTCATCGCTAGGTAGCACGACTCAAACCCGATTCCTTGGGAATTATCCCAAATTTTATGAAGATGTTTTCTAGAGCTTCTTTGAGCTCCAATCAAATACAAAATACCAATGAAAGCGGGAATTTCAGTCTCATCAGTTTCTCTTGCGTCTTGATTTCTTCTGTCTTCTTGAAAGTTACTTCGAACTTTTAGAATATATAAATTTGTGGAACCAGTTATTATTCTTATACACTGAGGGAAATAATGCATTGTAAAATTGAATACTTTATATTTGATTATAGTTTAAAAATGTTCGTATTTAAAAATAATATTTTCATGCAAAATGTATTACGCACGTATTTGACTGTTCACATCTGAGTATGTATATGTAAGTGTACATACGCACCCCAAGCATGCAGAGCACCGCTCTGAGAGCGGTGACAACACACACATACACACACATACATACATGTTTATCCGTACAAATCGCTTGCTGTGGTGTTGATGGATGTTCAACATTTGAAAGCAAATTTATATGTCTGGGTGTAGCTGAATGCGCAAAGATGCTTGCCACAAGTTGTTGATATCTGGATATGGTCGGGTTCGAATACCACTGCAGGCAACATCCAAATAATATTTTTTTTTAGTTTTTGTCTTGATTATTCACTTCACAGATGCTTTTTCAGTACGAACGCGGTCATTTTAATATGCGCGTAATTGAATTGAATATTTACCAATATACAGTACTTTCGTTGACGTTTCTATTAAGATCAATTACGTTTCCACTTGATTTTAATATTTTTTTCCCTCAGTGTAACTGAATCATTCACAAATGAATTCAGGCATTCAATTTATGAAACAACATTGCGCGCATTACCTCTTGTACCCGGCAAAAGTTTGATGATATTGTGAGAACGAACACGAACTTGCAAATTGGCTCTGGCTTTCTTCCATTTAGTAACATTATCATTTCCAAGAAAAAAGTTTGTGGCATGAGCTTCGCCAGAATCGTTTGAAAATATTTAATCAAAGTCAAATCCTTCTAGTTCAGATTTTGTCTCATGATCACTCCCTTCAGCAGCATCCGCACTCACATCCATATCTACGTTAACCTCGGACTTATTTTCTTCATCAACATCGCTTTCTTCCCCACTCGACAGTTCACCGAGCCATCTATGCCATACTTCAGGATTGCTGCTCCTTTCCACTCGCCTTTTCTTGGAATCGCACATAATATTATCTGAAGTAAACTGTATTAGAACAGTGGTATCAAAAATAATAAAAATAACTTACCTGAATTCAATGCAATAAGTTAATATAACATGCAATACTGCAGCAAGAAAATGTGACATCATTAGTTAGGTGGTCTACATATGTAGATCGGCACTGTTCGAACCTTGATAGAATTTACAACTGTACGACGAAACCGCACCGAATACACTGATTGGCTAAAGATATTAATTTTCAACAGCTAATAAAAACACTGAATAATTTAAAAATAAATTTAAAGAGTTGCACAAGAATAAAAAGATATGGTCTACGATCGTAGACCACGTGCCTAATGGAGGGTTAAGTTAACACCGTGAGCCGATTACGAAATTTCGAATTCGGCTAATCTCGATCCCTGAGAGCTCAGTGTTTGTTTGTGTGTTGGGTCAGTGCGACCCAAAATGCTTCCATTTTAGCCTCGCGAAGGTTGGAATGTCTAAGAGAAAGTGTGGAGATGATTCCACTTCATCTTCCTCTTGACAGCCGATACAAAAGATCAGTCGAAATACCTAGTCTCATCGCATGAATACCAATCGCACAATGGCCTGTGAGAACACCAATCACTAGCCCTTGAGAGTTAACGTGTTTTAAAGTGCCCTATAAAAACATTTGCTTCAGCAGAGAAACGTTCTATTTTCCTATTTTATGTCAGAGAGTTCGTGCTGCAATAATTCTGTCTGCAATATCTTCAGGCGCCGTGCTCAACATATGGCACACCGTCTTCAAAAGAGTCACAACTCAAAATTTGGCATTTTTAAAATTATACGCTAAAAATGTACACAGAGCTGTTATTTACCTTTCAGCAAAAGCTGGAGCAAATTTTCGTTATCATTTGTTAAAAAAAAATCTAAACTAAAGTCGTCCTTGCCCATATGATTAGAATGTGCTACGAAATAGTTTTTCGCATTTTCTGACGAACGCATTATTTTGAGTTGTGACTCAAAGACGGTGTGCGATATGTATGTTAAGTGCCAGTGTAGGAGTCGTTCCTAATGCTCCACTAATTCCTGTTTTATTAGTGTAGAATTCTCAAGTGAGTTCCAACAGACAATGGCTCCTTAAAACAATATAGGCTTAAATCTGGTTTCCTAGAACTAATGAATTAATTTGGGCGAGAGACTGCACCTTTTACCGATAGCTTCCCTACAGCAGTTCAAGGCAACCGACACCTTTCCTACCCTCTCCTAAGTGTAAGGCTTGAGCCAGATCAAAAAGGGTGTAAAGAAATCGTCCCTTAACCAAAAGATTTACATCATCTACATAAGCGATCACCCGACAGCCCACTTTTTCCAGTTCCTCTAGAAGGTCGTTTACAACCGCAATCCAGAGCAGGGGAAAGAGAACACCACCTTGTGGAGTGCTCCTATTGAATCTTCACTGAGTGCAGATGCTCCCCCACTCCTCCGCAACAGTTCTGTCATGAAGTAAGCTTATTAGGTTGGTTTCAAACCCCTGGGGGAGATTCCGTAACCAGTTAGCGACAATTTTCGATTCGCTATCGCATTTTTTGACGAAAAAACCTTTATATCATGCGTCAAAAAGTGCGATAGCGATCCGAAAATTGTCGCTAATTGGTAACAGAATCTCCCTCATGAAGAACAAAATATCGCAAAGAAGTACATTTGACTGTACTTCGAAGTACGAAGTACAAGAGCGAAAAAAGAAGTACTGTACTTCTGAAAGAAGTACGGGTGGTCACATTATGCATACGGCTTTGTACCTATTTGTATACATACTTAAGTTTGTATGTACATACATATGTACGAACTCATTTGTCGCAACTGGTTTTTATATGCGTAAATGGTTTTAGGCATAGGTTTAGTAGTCTATTTTGATAAAAAAAAGCAAGGCGCAAATTAAAAAAAAATACTGAAATCAATTTAACTGGGACCGTTGATAACTGATGAACATACATGAATATATGTATGCATAATATACGTATGTATCGATGATAAAATAGCTCTGATGCAATGCTTTTCATGTAAAATCCTGGAAAAAGGTCAAACAGCAAAATCACTCTCTGAACTGAGAGTAAAAAGTGAGTAACAGCAAATCTCTACACAACTCTCCAAAAATCGATCTCATTTACATGAACCACAGATTATATTCCGAAAAGAANATAGCTCTGATGCAATGCTTTTCATGTAAAATCCTGGAAAAAGGTCAAACAGCAAAATCACTCTCTGAACTGAGAGTAAAAAGTGAGTAACAGCAAATCTCTACACAACTCTCCAAAAATCGATCTCATTTACATGAACCACAGATTATATTCCGAAAAGAAAAACTAAATTTATTAATATATACAAACAGAAATGCTCAAACTATGTATAAGCTCCAAAACAGTAATTGATGCGGTGTTTTCAAAATATTTTAACACCCTTGAGTCACAAGTATATACAAGTATCATATTTTATCAATCATACCGATAATTTCAGGTATTAAAGAATTAAAAATGAAAATGAATAAAAAAAATTTAAATCAGCAAAATGAATAAAATTAAGTGAAATTTATGTTTAGTTTCTAACCTAACCTACATGTGTATGTATGTAACTGAATCGCCTAATAAAAGCTTTACATATAAAAATATTAAACACGTTTTCGAGCTTAACTCCCTAATCTGTAATTAGAAAAATAGATTAGACATACAAGATGATGATTATAAAATTATTCCAGATTAAACCGATAACTCTTTGGTGTCCAACCCAGATTTATCGATTATACTTGCAAAGAAGTGGAGGAATGTTAAATGTAAAAGGAAACAAAAATTTACGCTAGTAAGGAAAAGAGATTTGTAAAGGTATTTTTAATAGAATGTTCAGTTTAAATATATTTAAATAGCATAATACATAGGTGAAGCAGAAAAAATTTATCACGGTGGCACAGAGAAGAAGTTTAACTTTTCCTCGAGTTGTGTGAATACTTTTCTTATAAACCTTAATTATCTCTTTTCTTCTCCAAATCTATAACTATATATATATATATTCTTATCTTCTGCTCCAATAATTTTAATTCGTATATATGTATGTAGTTTTGTGTATGTTTAAGGCAAATTTTCTGTTTTAAAACTAAGTATTCACATGCACTGTAATTTAAAACCTCTGGTTGTTGTGCATGTACTTTAATAAATAAGCAAATAAATAAAAATATGTGACTCAATATCTCGGCGTCCACTATGTACAATACTGAAACTCGTGTTGCACACTTCGCAATTGACGCCACTTTTGGACTTCGCTCGCTTAAGGAAAGAAAATTCCTCACGCAGTTTTTATTGAAAACATTTGCACCACGTTTTCGAGGCATTTCAACAGAATTATTTCTCTGTAACACGAACAGGACACTGGAGGTGGGTAACTCAACTCAGAGTTGAGTTATTGAGTTGATTCCCATAAGTGAATCGGTAATTCAGACTCCCTGTCCAAAAAAATATGTAACTCAGTTGATGTCCTAGGGCTCACATGATTCAATTGAATCATTGTGGGTCATATTTGTCCATTTAACTCTCTCACATCGCCACAGTGTTTAGCATGAAAAAGAGTCAGCAGCAGTAGCAAAATAGATGGTCAATATAACTCTCCCTGCTTCGCCTCAGTGTTTAGCATGGCAAAGTCTTATATGTATTTTCTTTTTGCACAAGGCGAATTTATACAAGGTGGTGGCAAAACATAACAACAACATCCACATGTATTTTGTATTGCGGGTGTTATGTCAAATCTCAATTCTGGCATTAAGTTTCAAAATATGAGTCAAGACAAGGCGAATTTATACAAAAAATGGGGTATAGTCGTTGCTCTGGGTATGCAGTTACAGCTGCATGGCTATACTCAGTCCCGACTCTTGCGTCCTCGTTCGCGCACTCTGGGCAACGTGAGCAACCCATGTGCGAGATGCGGTAACCAATCAGAGTGGAGCCTTGGGTCACGGCAGAAAGAGAGGGAGCTTCGGTGGGCCACTCCGACTTATTCGGTTTAAGGGCTCACTGAAGTCTGCAGTGTCTGTTCCCCAGTAGGTGCGGCTGCAAGCGGGCGTCGGCTTGGAGCAAGCGGCTCGCTATGTAAACGTGTATTTGGTTGCGAAACCACCCCCGTCCCAGCAATGGGTTATGCGCTGGGTTTGGGACCCTTCGAAACCACTTCCAGTGAAGAAGCAAGGCAAAGCCTCGGATGAGATCCCCCTTATGATGACGACCACGGCAAAAGTTTAAAG